CAGTCATTTGATATTTACATAATTTGACCGGAAAGAGAAAATTCAACAGATTTATCCTTTAATAAAATACAAAACGGACAAATGGTAAATGTCAATGAGTAAAGATTTCCATCCACCTCACCTGGTACTGTTCTTGCAAACTGCAGCAGTCTGTTTAGGTGTGGGGATAAAACATCAGGCAGCCCCGCCCCCTCCAGAGCACACTGCCATTCAGAGACCTGCCAGCATGAGAACAACATGAGAACATCATAACAGGTGGTAAACCTAAAGTCTGGACACATACCTACCCTGTAACTGCTGCTGTCTTGCTCCCTAAACTGGCGATGAGCCTCAACCATCCTGTCTACAGTGTATTTCTGCTCCCGGGTCAAAATGGCGGGCTGATTCTGGGGCAGATAGAAAAGAACTTAGTTTGTTGTTTAAAAAGCACAACTCTATCAAACAATAAAGTACACAAGGGAATTTTTTTTATATTTTTAGTCTCCTCTAAAATAGTGCTGGGGGAGAGTTTAACTTTAATTTATGTTCATTAACTCATCTTAGTTGCTAGGACATTTACTAAGAAAGAAAAAAAAAATTAAGTGTTTTTTAAAATAATGTTCTCTTTAAAATGTACAGTGTCTATAGGGGTGCAAATACAATAGAAATACATATATTTGTAGCAATTACAAAAAACGAGGCTTTTAAAATTAGAACAACACACAAAGCCCACGAAAAAGGGAAATTTGCTGTATTACTGTTTTTTTGAATGGCCGGGAAACTTTCCCTTTACATCTTGTCTTGTTTTATTGAGCCTAGGCGGAAGTTCAACTGAAGAAACTCATTGTTTTTCATACATGCACCTGCGACATAGCCAATCAGCTTGAACCACACCTTCACGAAAGCCAATCGGCATCCAAAGCTCATCTTAAAGGGTCTCAGATACGCACCTGTCTGCTCCTGTATGCAGGCGGTGGATGCGCTGAGACTTCATTCAGATGACACCGTTTCAACCCACCTCCAGCCCCTCCTCCACCTTAGTAGCTAAAGCTTCATCAGAGTTTCATTCCTCCTGGACTCTTACTACGTTCCCTGTCTCATCTTAACCGGTTCGCCAGAAGACCGCCATGTTGAGCCTGGTTCTGCCAGAGGTTTCTTCCCAACGGGGAGTTTTTCCCTCTCCACTGTCGCTTCATGCTTGCTCATCATGGACAAGTTCTATCAACCTGTGTTATCCAAGCTGGACTTCCATCTTCCAGGTTCCTCAGTGAAGCTCTAGTATCAGCTCATGCAGTCCACTGGATCTCACCATATTGCTCAGCAGACCGTCTCCCTAACCAGCAGTCTACAGACTGACCAACTTCATCTATCTCCACTCCACCACCAGTTTCAGGCCTGGGGGGAAACAGTCCTGTTCTTCCCTCCTGTTCATGTATATCTATCAAAATTAAGCGCTATGTTTCCTGCCAAGGTCTGAGCGCCAAATACAAAGTAATTGTATCAATAAATTTCTCCTAATTGTCTTTTCTCTTTGTGTGAGTTTTTCAGATTGAACTTCTCTTTCTTTAGATCCACCTCAGCTCTACTCCGTTCATCAATTTCTAAATAATTCCCCTTCATAAATTCCTGAGCCATTAGCCTCTTCACTCTACAGAGTTTTATTGTTTTTGATTCCCAGAAGCAGACAGCTTGGACTGGTTTAGAACCGGCTGGGTCAGAACAGTGGTGTGGTACCTGTCCAGGTAACCGACAGGTAGAGCTGACTCTCCGACTGTCTGTGCTCTCCTTCTCTTCTTGCGCTCTGCTTTTACCTACTTTCCTCAGTCGTTTGGACTGGCATTGGACCTCTGTCAGAAGGCCTTGGAAGAAAAAAAAAATACATATAAACACAGAGAGCTGCAAATATACTTATACCATTTAAACCTTTCACAGCGTTTCATTTTACTAACACAAACTGTAATGCTGATGATGATTTTCAGTCTTCCAGGTCATAGTTATTCCAAAAAAGTAAACAAAAACAACAACAATCCACTGGACTTTGTTTCCAAGTTTGAAGAAATTTCGCTCTACATCCAGGAAGCTTTTTCAGTTAAAAATCTCATTAGCATGGAGTTCGAAACTTCATATAGTGGCCATCATTTCAACCCCCACCCACATGCAAGGGACCGAAAAAAAACATCTTGCCTGGTCAGCCAGACCAACAATTCCCCCTAACGACCCCCCTCTGAGAGGCATAGACCAGTATTGGGTATTACAGGCTGACAAAGAATCCCAAACGACACCCCATTCTTAAGGGGCAGACCCATTCTTCTGGTTCATTTTGCATGTTTTCTAAACCAAAATAAGTCTTTGTTTTTGGTCCACTTTATAAAGCTTTGAACTGAACACTAATTCTGACATTTTGAATTGAATAAGCTTGAATAAGCTTTCTGGATGGGAAGCGAAATGTCTTCAAACTTGGTAACAAAGACCAGTGGATTGTTTTTTTTAAGCCTTTTTTGGAAAACTGTAATGCATTTTTACGACGAGTGCAGGTTTTATATCAGGAGGAAGGAAAAGGATGTAGTTAGTTTGCTGATAAAGAGCTGAAAAGTGTGGTGCACATTCTGATCAGCCACATTCTAGTGGTTTCAAGTTTTAGAAAGAATCGATCTGTTTTAAACTCCATCCATCTTCCTAGATTCCCCCACCAGAGCAACTTTCCTCTAAAGCTCATTTACAGATGGGCCTTTAAATGCTTTTTGGATAAATAATCACTTTGCCCAACATCTACGCCTCTGACTACCACCCAATCTTCTAAGCATCAATTCGCCATGGTTCCCCCTGCAGATGGCGAGCCCACTGGGGGATGGCCTTGCATCACTCCTTCGGGCTGGGCCCAACCGCATCCCACAAGTAAGAACGCTGGCTACTAGGCGCTTTCGGAAGAACCCTAAGCCCTGCCCTGGCTCCAGGGTGGCGCTTTGGTTGGGCAAAGTCACATGCCTTGATTTTAAGTCCTCATGGGGGCTTTGTGAACCACTCTTTGTCTGACCTGTCACCAAGAGCCTGTTTGATTGCCTCAAGTTAAGGAGCTTAAGTATCTGGGGGTCCTGTTCACGAGTCGGAGATCGATAGATGAATTAGTGTGGCAGCTACTATAATGCAGACCCTGCATTTCTTGGTGAAAATAGAGCTGGGCAAAAAGATAAAGCTCCCGATTCACCAGTTGGTCTACATTCCTAGCCTCAACTACATGGCTGGGCTTTCCAATAGAAATAGGGTAAGGAGCTTGGTCATGCCGGAGGGGCTTGGAGTAGAGCCCATATCGAAAGGAGTCAGCTGAGGTTGCTCGGACATCTTTTTTGGATGCCCTCTGGACGTGTCCCTCGGGAGATGTTCCAGGCACATCCCACTGAGAGGAGGCCCAGGACCAAGACCTAGGACCTGGCCTGGGAGCGCCTCAGAATGCCCCAGCGACCCAGTCTCGGATAAAGCGGGAGATCACAAGAGGCGAGAGAGATTTTAAAAACAACCGTAATGTTCACCTAAGTGCTGTACAGCAGTGTTTTTCAATCCTGGTCCTCAAGGCACCCTGCTCTGCATGTTTTGGATGTTTCTGAGCATCAACACACCTGATTCAGATGATTGCAGTTCAGCAAAGCCTGATAATCAGCTATCAATTGATAACAGGTGTGTGGAAGCTGGGAAACATCTAAAACATGCAGGGCAGGGTGCCTTGAGGACCAGGATTGAAAAACACTGCTGTACACAAATACAATGTCATGCCTTCTTGTTTGGGTTAGAAGATGGGTTTTAGCGTTCTGGACCAAGTTCAGGCATGTCTGAGTGAAAGCATCATGTGAAGAGTTTCAATAATAAAGTTCAAAGTAATAAAAGCGTAAGTTGAATGTTACAAGTTTTTAACAGATAGCAACGATTTCAGTCTTGATAAAAAAAAAAAAAATGGATTGCTGTGCAGCTAAAGAAATCTTTTTTGTTTTATCCAACTGTAAGATTTTACCCTGCATATTTTAGCTGCTAATTTAACAAAGATGTCCAGAAAATCTAGATTAGAAAAATTGTGATTACATCTTGGTCAAACAAGATGTGATTAACCAAGAGGTGGTCAACAGCACCAAATTCCTGGGGGTGCACATCATAGACACCCTCACCTGGAATGTAAACACCACCTCACTGATCAAAAGGGCACAGAAGCGCATGTTCTTCCTGCGAAGGATGAGGAGAGCCAACCTGCCCCCACCCATCCCCACCACCACACTACAGAAGCACCATAGAGAGTGTTCTGACCAGCTTTCTCACTGTGTGGTGTGGAGGCTGCAGCGCCTCAGACTGGAAGAAGGTGAGAAGAGCAGAGAGGATCATCTCTTCCCCACTGCCATTAGACTGCAAAATGTTATATAAATTGGGTGTTTTTTTCATCACAGTGTTTTCAATCACTGCTGCTTACTCAAGGCTGCGCTTTAAAAAATGAAAAGGTCTCGATAGCTGTACATAACGAAATTTCTTTTTGTATACACTTGTGTGTACAAAATGACAAATTAAAATCTGTCTAAGTCTAATTTCTTTGGATCTTGTCTTATTTAAATCAAGGATCATTAAGGGTAACCCAGGCTTTGACTTCCAAAAGACAATTAAATAATCATTTTAATGGGGATGAGCAGTTGCCCTTAGTTAAAAGTAGATCCAAGTGTTGTTAGCATTTGAATGGCAATATATGTTTCTCTGAAAATGAAACCCAAAGCAACATATAAATAAATCAAAATGTGATCCAGAATAGGTCCCTGAGGTACTCCATAAGTAAGGGACAGCTGAAGAAGAGACAGATACTTCAAGATTCAACAGCTGCACATTCAGGACTCTATCTGTTTTGTAATCGGACATTTTGCTTGCGCAATTTTTTTAAGAGCATCTGCATAAAGGGGAATGAATGCAAATCACACCATATTTTTCAGATTTTATTTGATAGACTTTTTCCAATTAAACACTAAGCGTTGATGTTTTACATAAATTATAAATAACGGGCAATAACATTTTTGTTTAAAACAAGACAAAATGTTAAAAAGATTCCAGGATGGAGAACTATTTAAACATTAGCAGCTTTAATTTATTCTCTGGTTGTCATTTATACTAAAGATTTTGGTTATTGCTATTAATGTTTTCTTATTGAACTTTTCATGTCATGTGCTTGGATCAGCGTTTCCTTACACTCAGCCAGCATTCCCACCGCGCGGCACTTCCTCAGCCGGCAGTCCTGGCACTTCCTCCTCATGTACATGTCCATCTCACAGCTGCCGCCGCTCTTACAGTGGTACACAGCCTTTTTAGTCACACTGCGCCTAAAGAAACCTGCAGTTAAGGTGGAAAAAAACTTCCAGCTTTAGCTTTAAAGTACATTGAAAGGTTTAGAAGATAGTGTTTAAGAGATTACCTTTGCACCCTTCACAGGTTAGAGCATTGTAATGATACCCTGATGCTTTATCCCCACACACCACACACAGCTCATCCTGCCCTTTACTCTTCCCAACCGAACCCATTCGAGACCTCCGTACAAGATGCAGCCCCGCCGGGCCAAATCCCTGATTCAGTTCCCCGGAGAGGGACTCCTGGCTGGGATCGCAGGGGCCCTCCACGCAGTGAGAGCTGTACTGGTATGGAGGATGGCAGAGCTGAGAGGGTGAAGCCAAAGACGAAGGCGAAGGAGAGGTAGAGGAGCCATAGAAGGGGAAAGGCATGTTGGCAGGGAGGTACTGCTGCTGGTTGTGAGGAAGCAGCTGGGGGTCGGGGTCCTGCAAGGGGTAGCAGAGAGGGTCTGCCAGCATGTCTGAAAGGAGAGATGAATGAAATGATGGAGATGTAAAAAAAAACAAAAAAGTTTTACATCATAAAAACAAGAACAAATGTGCAGATAAAATAAAGAACACAGAGGTAATCCAATCATTAGAATCATAAGACAAAATCATAAAAACCATCAACCGGAAACACCTGATGATCAAAGGGAGATTGCCAATCTGTGATAAGAGCAGCTTTTCCCCTGGATTGGTTTGCAGATTAAGAATCAAAGACGTCTCCAGCCTTGATTTAAGAGATTATGTGTTTCGGCTGTTTTTCAGATTAAAGTTGCTTATCACCGTAAGCTGGTTCCCTATAATTGGTTTCGCTTCTTGGTAGACTGGAACCAGAAGACCTGAATGCTCAGTGTATTCTCATTATGAGTTCGTATGAAATCGTACGAAAGGTTATGCACCGTAATTTTGTATGTTTTGGACGTTTTTTTCGTCGTATGCGCATGCGCATCTGACGCACCATTCACGAATATAGAATATAAATTACAATTAGCCCTAACCCTAACCCTAAGATATAAAACAGCAAGCAACGTAGTTAGAGACATGAATAAGGGATGATTGCACTGTTTTTCCCANTGTGCAGCTAAAGAAATCTTTTTTGTTTTATCCAACTGTAAGATTTTACCCTGCATATTTTAGCTGCTAATTTAACAAAGATGTCCAGAAAATCTAGATTAGAAAAATTGTGATTACATCTTGGTCAAACAAGATGTGATTAACCAAGAGGTGGTCAACAGCACCAAATTCCTGGGGGTGCACATCATAGACACCCTCACCTGGAATGTAAACACCACCTCACTGATCAAAAGGGCACAGAAGCGCATGTTCTTCCTGCGAAGGATGAGGAGAGCCAACCTGCCCCCACCCATCCCCACCACCACACTACAGAAGCACCATAGAGAGTGTTCTGACCAGCTTTCTCACTGTGTGGTGTGGAGGCTGCAGCGCCTCAGACTGGAAGAAGGTGAGAAGAGCAGAGAGGATCATCTCTTCCCCACTGCCATTAGACTGCAAAATGTTATATAAATTGGGTGTTTTTTTCATCACAGTGTTTTCAATCACTGCTGCTTACTCAAGGCTGCGCTTTAAAAAATGAAAAGGTCTCGATAGCTGTACATAACGAAATTTCTTTTTGTATACACTTGTGTGTACAAAATGACAAATTAAAATCTGTCTAAGTCTAATTTCTTTGGTTCTCATCTTATTTAAATCAAGGATCATTAAGGGTAACCCAGGCTTTGACTTCCAAAAGACAATTAAATAATCATTTTAATGGGGATGAGCAGTTGCCCTTAGTTAAAAGTAGATCCAAGTGTTGTTAGCATTTGAATGGCAATATATGTTTCTCTGAAAATGAAACCCAAAGCAACATATAAATAAATCAAAATGTGATCCAGAATAGGTCCCTGAGGTACTCCATAAGTAAGGGACAGCTGAAGAAGAGACAGATACTTCAAGATTCAACAGCTGCACATTCAGGACTCTATCTGTTTTGTAATCGGACATTTTGCTTGCGCAATTTTTTTAAGAGCATCTGCATAAAGGGGAATGAATGCAAATCACACCATATTTTTCAGATTTTATTTGATAGACTTTTTCCAATTAAACACTAAGCGTTGATGTTTTACATAAATTATAAATAACGGGCAATAACATTTTTGTTTAAAACAAGACAAAATGTTAAAAAGACTCCAGGATGGAGAACTATTTAAACATTAGCAGCTTTAATTTATTCTCTGGTTGTCATTTATACTAAAGATTTTGGTTATTGCTATTAATGTTTTCTTATTGAACTTTTCATGTCATGTGCTTGGATCAGCGTTTCCTTACACTCAGCCAGCATTCCCACCGCGCGGCACTTCCTCAGCCGGCAGTCCTGGCACTTCCTCCTCATGTACATGTCCATCTCACAGCTGCCGCCGCTCTTACAGTGGTACACAGCCTTTTTAGTCACACTGCGCCTAAAGAAACCTGCAGTTAAGGTGGAAAAAAACTTCCAGCTTTAGCTTTAAAGTACATTGAAAGGTTTAGAAGATAAAGTGTTTAAGAGATTACCTTTGCACCCTTCACAGGTTAGAGCATTGTAATGATACCCTGATGCTTTATCCCCACACACCACACACAGCTCATCCTGCCCTTTACTCTTCCCAACCGAACCCATTCGAGACCTCCGTACAAGATGCAGCCCCGCCGGGCCAAATCCCTGATTCAGTTCCCCGGAGAGGGACTCCTGGCTGGGATCGCAGGGGCCCTCCACGCAGTGAGAGCTGTACTGGTATGGAGGATGGCAGAGCTGAGAGGGTGAAGCCAAAGACGAAGGCGAAGGAGAGGTAGAGGAGCCATAGAAGGGGAAAGGCATGTTGGCAGGGAGGTACTGCTGCTGGTTGTGAGGAAGCAGCTGGGGGTCGGGGTCCTGCAAGGGGTAGCAGAGAGGGTCTGCCAGCATGTCTGAAAGGAGAGATGAATGAAATGATGGAGATGTAAAAAAAAACAAAAAAGTTTTACATTATAAAAACAAGAACAAATGTGCAGATAAAATAAAGAACACAGAGGTAATCCAATCATTAGAATCATAAGACAAAATCATAAAAACCGTCAACCGGAAACACCTGATGATCAAAGGGAGATTGCCAATCTGTGATAAGAGCAGCTTTTCCCCTGGATTGGTTTGCAGATTAAGAATCAAAGACGTCTCCAGCCTTGACTTAAAGAGATTATGTGTTTCAACAGTTTTTCAGATTAAAATTGCTTATAACTGGAAGCTGGTTCTTTATGTTTGGTTCGGCTTCTTTGTATACTGGAAACAGAAGACCTGAACACTCTGGAAATGTTGATAAAATGAAAAAAAGTCTTAAATGTATTATGGTGTTAAACCGATCAACAATTTCTAACCTAATAGATGTATTTTAAAGTCTATTCTCTGACGTAGCCAATGATGTGCTCAATTTTTCCAGTCTAATTAATGACACTAGCAGCAGCATTTTGCTTTAGCTGCAGCTGTTTGGTTGATTTTCTGCAGACCTTTGAAGAATCCTTGCAGTAATCAATGTGACTAAAGATAAAAACATGGATGAGTTTCTCTATGGAGGACCAAGTGAGTCACTGAAAATGAAAAACAGCCATTTAAAATTTAACATTAAAATCACATCACAAGCATTTTTATTTTAGATTTGAAAAAGAACTATAAAAATTGTATTAATGATTCCATTATAAAATACTGCAATCTTAAAAAAAATGGGATTTAAATACCTCAATTCATAAACATAATTAAAAATAACTTCCCTACTACTGCATCATTGCATTTTCAAATCCTTTCGGCAGTTGCATTTTCTTTCTCTTTTACACTCTCCATTTATATTTGGTGTGAGCCTTCTGGCCCCTGAACACACTGAAAACCAAAATGTGCAATTAGAAAATACTTTTCAAAGTGGATTTCTAATTGTATGATTTAAATGTTAAATTTGAAATTGCTGTTTTCATTTTAGAGGGACTCCTCAGGTCCTCCATATTTCTCTTGGTCTTCTTGTTGCATTTGTTCTTTAATTCTGGACAAGTTTTTCAGGTAGTAGAAAGACAACTTTTTGTTTTTATGTGATTCTAAAGGCCCAGATTTCAGGCCTGTTCATGTTTCTAAATGTAGTAACTTTAGCTGTGTGCTGATTCTTGATCGTTTATCTTTAGATCCAAAGATACTGTAATACCTTCATTATTTAAAAGGGAAACCGTTATATATTCAATAGAGCTTTTGTTTTTTTTATCATTATTATATCATTTTTATCATTATTATCATTGCCATTTAACCATCAATTCTCCATATGTTTTGTAAATAGATTAAATTTATTAATATGTTGGAGTGAATTTGACAAAATTAATTTAACAGACTGTAGCACCCTGTATGTTTTGGAACATATTTTTCTAACTGAACTCTTCCTACTTGGTTTTCCTTTTGGAAATCATAAGTTTTGCAATCTAAATGATTGAACAGTGAAATGTTTTATTCTCGTTAGACTAAAAAGAAGAAAAAGAAAAACAATCGAAAGAAACAGACACAAATGCATCATTTCAAGATGACGCTTCCCAAAGCCAAAGAGCGTCATAGGACTATAATTTTACGTGCCTTGTGTGACTTCACCATTTTAATTGCCCTATTGGGAGACAATAAAAAGCCGAGAGTGAGACCTTGTGAACTTGTTCGGACGGTTGAAACAGGATGCAGCTGAGATCTCTGAGTGCCACGGAGGAGGGCCAGAGGTGGTCTCTGATGAACAGTTCATGAGTTTGTCTCAGCAGAGAAAACATGTGGGGCCCCTGGCATTGGATAAAAGAGCAGCTGGACCAATGGAGTCGCTCAGGGAGCTTCTAGCAATCATACACTGATTAAACAGAGAGCCCACCCTACAGTCATACTGTTAGCAGCATCTGCTGAGGATGGAAATACAAGAGTAGATACAGCTATTCAGATGTAGAAAATGTCCCTATAAACATGTCAGGTGAAACAAATAAATCACCCACTGACGGCCTGTGAGTTTTTATTAGGTCATTTTCACATTATATATATATATATATATATATAGATAGATAGATATAGATATAGATATATCTATATCTATATATAGATATAGATATAAACTGGAAAACTTAAAGAAATGAAAACAAAACTAAAGAAAGAAATATTCAAACTTTGTAAAACATCTGCTCCTGACTGGTAAAGGGAAGGAAAACACTAAGATAAGTTTTAACAAGCTGTCTGTGGCCCTAAGATAAAAATAGTTTAGGAGTCTGATAAGGGATTTTAGGAGCTGTCAAACCAATCTAAATGCTTTACAAAAAATAGTGGGGGACTTTCAAAACAGCTGTCAACATACATATCGCAAGAGCTTCATCAGGGTCCTACTTCTGCTAATGAGAAGTTCCTGTCTGTACACTCAGAAATAATAAACACAAGTCCATAGTTCCATACTGTACATGCCCTCTTTGTGTAAGAAAGAGATGTTTATTTAATAAAAACATGTAAGCTAATTTTTTGGTTCTTTTAATGAAATAGCAAAAGAATGTCTTGATTTCTACAACAGTATCCTTTAGATAGATTAGATGATGTTTGGATGTGTAAAGATAGCTAATTTTTATCCATAAAACAGGATTTTTTTAGGACAGAAACAGCAGATCACATGTGCAGCATGGAGCTGGAAGTGTCATGGTTTAGAGATGCTTTGCTAGTTTTTTTGTCATATACTCCACCATTCATTATGCTACATTCACACCTAAAGCAGCAGAAGCAGCTAGTTTACATGCATAGTCAATGGTTGACGTGCATCTTGGTGCCGCAAAAGGTCCCGCAGCACATCTGAGCAGCTGAAGCAGCGCCTCAAAAGATTCTGAGCATCTGACGCGCAGAACGCGCTATGAAAGCAGCATCTGCTGGAGATGGAAAAATTTAACCATTGCTGCTTGACGCGCCACATCAACCAATCAGAGAAGCTGATCTGATAGCTGGCAGGGAGACAGACACAACGCTGCTGATGCAGATCGTTATGATCACTTCTCTAAAACAGTTCATTAATGTCTAAATTAACTTAAAATGCAGAAATCTGCCGACAATTAATGTTCGCTTTTATTATCCTGGTCCCTACAGTTTAGATTACGTATGTGAAAAACATCTACTTCCAGCCAGCTCAAACAGTAGCGGCAAAATGCGAAGAGAAGACCGGGCCAGAGGCTGCTGTTGAACGGGATTACTAGTGACAGAACACCACCGGTGTACGGAGATCTGAGCGGCTCAGACAGTGAAATAATATTTGAAGGCAGGATCATCGTCTTGATGCACAAAGGAAGTTTTCATCTTTCTCACTTAAAAACATATTAAAACTACTTTTTACCCACTGATCACAGCAAATATAGCTGCCATTGTTACAGGCAAAGAAAGGATAGGGTAGCTCCACCCAACGCGCATCAGATCCACTTTTTGACCACACAGCTACAGCAGCAAAGATGCTTCAGCCATGCATCAGAACTAAACTTGTACAATCATAAAAAATTAAGCAGTATGCACATTTTTGCTGCTACTGCTGCTCACGGTGTGAACGGAGCATTACAGATAAAGAGATTACAGCTGAACCAGAACCAGACCCTTCTTCTAAGATATTATGGCTTTTAAGCCTTCTGGAGGCTTTTTTTTGTGGTTTTCTTTAGAGGTATGCTATTTGTCTTTTTTTTTTTAGCTCAATACCTAAAGGTTTATTAACTCAAAGGAGTCACAATTGTTTCAATACATAAAGGAGAAATGTGTGGAAACAACAACTGTAAACAGGATCTTCTTTCACTTTCTTACTTGATCAAGACAGAAAACAGGAAAAATATATTTTAAAGAATGATTACTTTATTCAAGTGACTCGTGGTCCACAAAAAGACTTTACAAAAGATTTTTAAAAAATTATGCAATTCCAGCTCCTTTGACCTGATTTCCATTGTCCATTATTTCCTGAAAAGTCACTTTCAAACTATTTTATATACCATTTTAAATCCTATTTTATGACATTTATGTGAACTGTATATTTATTTTTGCTTTTTGTTGTTAACTTTTCCCACACAGATTTTTCCACTCTGGGTCGATGAAGATTATTCTGTTGTATTCTATGATCAATTCAATTCTATTATATGAAAACTGATACATTTATCAGGTAGGTCGGGTCTTAGTTAATTCTTTAACCCTTTATAGGGCACTCACTGAAAAACTTTGAAAATTTCAAGCCAATAGTGTTATTGGAATCCAGGACAAGACCTTATTACCTTTCTAACATTCAGAAAATATGGATATATTGATGGCAAAAACTGATGTCAATGTAATAACAAGAAACGCCATCTTGCCTGAATTTTGATGAGAACATTCTGAGCCACAATATTTCTTTTCTGTGAATATTAAAATGTTTGAAGGAGACATTTTTAACTCCAGCTCTCTGTGAAACACTCAGCTTCATGTGTCGTCTGTTGATTTAATCTGATGTGAAATGACCTTGCAGAAGAAAGACATTGTTTTGTTTTCTGGTTGACAAGCTAGAGAAATGTGCTTGTAGTGTCAGAACAGGGCCGTCTGTGGGACTTTTTAATCAACTGTTCCCATATTATCACACATTACAGCACATTTTTGTCTGTTAATCTTGTTTTCTGGATATTCGGATTAAAATACTGTCTGTTTTGTGTTCTGAAGTAGGGAGATTTTGTGGAAACATCCTTGGCTTTCACTAAAGCAGCCACCACTGCAAAAAACTGAAATCTAAATAATTAATTTCTTCTTAAAATAAGTGCATTTGTTCTTGAATTTAGTTGGTAAGTGAGACACCTTGCCAATGGAACAAGACAATTAACGTTTAAAATAAGAAAAAAACAATTGCATTGTCTTATTTCAAGTGCATATTATCTCATTATCTTATTTTAAGAGCAAAACTACTA